AGAATTAATGCAGTTTGATACCATTTTAATTGTCATGGCCCAATGCTGTGGGATCCTGGGATTTATAGTTTTGTGAGATGTTTCCCCTTCTCTGCCAGAGAGTTCTGGTGCCACAACAAATTCCATAGAATGGAGCCACGACAGTTAAAGCGGTGCATTATCTCACCAATTTAAATGTCATGGCTCGGTGCTATGGAATCCTGGGATTTGTAGTTTGTTGTGACAACCAGAGCTGTCTGACAAAGAAAGCTGAACAACTCACAAAAACTATGAATCCCAAGATTCCATGGCACTGAGAAATATAGCCTTCTGTATCAGAGACCTCTGGTGCTCCCATCAAGCTCCAAATCTTGGGATTCCATAGCCATGGCACTTAAACTGGTGTCAATCTGAATTATTTCTGCAGTGCAGAATAGATGCATTTAGGCAAACAGACAGACAGAATCCTAAAACTGTAGAGCTGGAAGGATCTTCAAAGGTCATTTCGTGCAACTAAGAAATCCACAAAAAAGGATGTGGAGAAACTGGAGCGTGTCCAAAGGAGGGCAACTAAAATGGTGAAGGGTCTGGAAATCATGCCCTACGAGAAACGACCTAGGGAGCTGGGGATGTTTAGCCTGGAGAAGAGACGGCTAAGAGGGGATATGATAGCCCTGTTTAAATATTTGAAGGGATGTCATGTTGAAAGTAAGAGCTGTTCAACAGTGGAACACATTCCCTCTGAGATTTTGGTGGAGTCTCCTCCTTTGGAGGTATTTAAACAGAGGCTGGATGGCCATCTGTCAGGAGCGCTTTGATTGAGAGTTCCTGCATGGCAGAATGGGGTTGGACTGGATGTCCCTTGTGGTTTCTTCCACCTCTAGGATTCTATGAATCCCCACCAAGCACAAGAAATGACAAGAACAAAGTGCATAATACTTTAAATACATTCTCAGGGGAAGTAATGGAAACTGCTTTATTCAGTTTTGGACAGAGCTCACCTGGAAGACTGTGTCCAAATCTCAAATTGCAAGAGGAAATGGAGAAGAAAGGACCACTTACCGTAATTCAGATTTGCATTCAGATCTGATGGTCTTGTTTACCTGGATGTATACCTGCCTCAGGACACGTTCCTTTTCTCTTGGGAACTTGACCTACGCTGCATCTGCACTAGAGAATAATCCAGTTTGATACCACTTTAAGTGCCATGGCTTAATGCTATGAAATCTTGGGATTTGTAGTTTTGTGAGCTATTTCGCCTTCTCTTTCAGGGAGCTCCATTGCCACAACAAGCTACAATTCACAGAACTCCATAGCATTGAGCCATGGCAGTTTAAGTGGTGTTAAACTGGATTGTTTCTGCAGTGTGGATGCAGCCCTAATATTCCTGAAAGACATGCTATCTCCAGATATGAAAATACGAGGACTCCAAATACAGAGTGGGACATGCAGGAGTGCTAATATTGGTGTCAAACTGCATTAATTTCTACAGTGTAGATGCACCCTTTGGCACCAGTATAGTATTGAAAGCTGATTCTGTGGCTAAAAGTCTTGTTCCCACATTGGATTGGATTCAATCTTGTTCTGCTGATGGTGCCATCCTTGGCTTCTCTTTTTCCAGCTTTGAATGCTGCCAAGAGACGGCAGACTGGTTGTTGGCGCGTACCACGCAGCGACCAAAAATCGCCATCATCTGCGGCTCAGGACTCGGACCTCTGGCTGACAGCTTGAAGAACCAGGAGTCCTTCAAATATACAGACATCCCTCACTTTCCACGCAGCACAGGTAGAGTTCAAGCATCCCCTCCTCTGGGGCCACACCAAACTACAATTCCCAGACTATGACTCTGGAGAGCTGGGTTCGAATCCTGCATGGGAGAATGGGGTTGGACTGGATGGCCCTTGTGGCCTCTTCCAACTTTAGGGTTCTATGATTCTATGAATCCCCGCTTGGGCATGAAAAATAATAATATTCATATTAAACAACAACAACAACCATGCTGGGTGACCTTGTACAAGTCACACTCTCTCAGCCTCAGAGGAAAGCAGCAGCAAACAGTAAATTGGACGTTTAAACAGGGTTTATCCCTTGAAAATCGCGCAATTGCAATCAAATCGCAATTAAGATTTTCAGACACCGCGCAATAGAAGAGCCATTATCCCAGGAGTAACCAGGCAATAAACAGCAAGAAAGCATTTTCGGGATTTTCCCGTGAATGATTTGTTGCTGTTTATTGCCTGGTTATTCACGGGTTAATGCCACTTTAATTGCTTTTCAATGCAACATTGTGTGAAAAGCTTTATTGCAATTGTGCGACATTCCCAGGATATTCCCAGGAAAATGGCAGTTTAATCGCAACGTCGTGTGAAAATCCTTAATTGTGAATGCGCGATTTTCACAGGATAATACTTCCATTGTCACCGTCAAGATAGGTTTGCCTTTTGTTGTTGTTGTGTGTCTTCAAGTTGTTCCCAACATATGGCGGCCCTATCACAGGGTTTTCTTGATAGGATTTGTTCCGAGGAGGCTTGCCATGGCCTTCCCCTGAGGCTGAGAGAGTGTGACTTGCCCAGGGTCACCTCTAAAGAACAAAGGAGAGACCTGAGCTCCAATATTGTGGGGATTAATGTGACTCACCGCTTCTTTCTTCAGTCCCCGGCCATGATGGACATCTCATTTTTGGGGAGCTGAAAGGCAAGCCGTGTGTTTGCATGAAGGGGCGCTTCCACATGTATGAAGGATACCCGCTCTGGAAGGTAAGGGGCGCATGCGCTCGCTGGCTTCAAGCCCACTCTGCTTTACTTAGGGTTGTATTGGAAAGATTGATGCATTTTTTAAAATGTATTAAATTTAAAAAACAACAACACATAATTAAACTTAAAAATCAAACATTATACATAAATCTCTTCAACACCACTACAAAGTGCGCCTGCACCCCCAGGACCATAGAGACTATTTCATTCAGCAGTTTTCCAAAATTGCAATAATAATAATAATAATAATAATAATAATAGTTTTTATTTATATTTTCCCGCCTCTCCCTGCGGATCGAGGCGGGATTACAACAAAATTATACAACAATGTACAAAAATACAATATATAAAAACCATAACAATAATAATAATATGACTCTGGTGGAGACACATACTCCTTTTTTCTGCCAATTTATTCCATTTGTTGTTAACTGCCTTTGTGTTGGTCTTGACCCATGGCGACCCTCTGGATGAGAGATCTCCAGCCCCCCTGCTCTGCCCAGCTCCTGCAAACCCATATTCGTGGTCTCTTTAATAAAGTCCTTCCATCTGGCATGTGGCCTTCCTCTCTTTCCACTTTCCTCCACCTTTCCTAACATTGTTGTCTTTTCCAACGATTCATGCCTTCTCATGATGCGTCCAAAGTACGACAGTCTAAGCCAGGGGTAGGCAACCTTTTTGAGACGGGGGACGGGTTGCTGTCCCTCAGACAATTGGGGGGGCCGAAGCACCAAAAATAAATAAACAAATAAATAAATAAATAAATAATTTAAAAAATTTAAATTTAAAAAAATATGCATGCACACTCTCTCAGCCCCAGAAAAGCCATGGCAAAACCCCTGTGGAGATTTTGCCAAGAAAACCCCAAGAACAAGTGATAATCAATATAATCATGGCAGGCGGTGGCGGCAGCGGGAGGACTGGCCTGGGGCCGGTCCAAAGGCCGCGGGGGGCCACATCCGGCCCCTCGGGCCTTAGGTTGCCTACCCCTGGTCTAAGCCTTGTCCTCTTGGCTTCTAGGGAGATCTCTGGCTTGATCTGCTCCAGAACCCATTGGTTTGTCCTTTTTGCTGTCCATGGGATCCTCAGCAGCTTCTCCAGAAACACATTCTCTCAAATGCATTGGTTTTCTTCCTATCTTTCTATCTTGACTGTCCAGCTCTCACATCCATCCATAGGAATAATAGGGAATACGATGGCTTGTATGATTCTGACTTTTGTGCTGAGTTGTATGTCTTAACATCTTAGAACAGGGGTAGGCAACCTAAGGCCCGAGGGCCGGATGCGGCCCCCCGAGGCCTTTGGACCGGCCCCAGGCTGGTCCTGCCGCTGCCGCCTGCCATGATGATATTGATTATTGTTGTTATTACTTGTTCTTGGGGTTTTCTTGGCAAAATCTCCACAGGGGTTTTGCCATGGCTTTTCTGGGGCTGAGAGAGTGTGCATGCATATTTTTTAATTTTTAAAACTTTTAAAATATTTATTTATTTATTTATTTATTTATTTATTTATTTTTGGTGCTTCGGCCCCCCAATTGTTTGAGGGACAGCAACCTGGCCCCTGGCTCAAAAAGGTTGCCTACCCCTGTCTTAGAATCTTTTCTAGTTCTTTCATAGCCCCCTTTCCCATTCTTAATGGGGTTGCAGACTGCCAGAAATAGTGCAAATTGAGTCCACTTTAAGGGTTAGGGTTAGGGCTAGGGAATCATGGGAACTGTATTTTGTTGTGGCACCAGAGCTCTCTGACAGAGAAGGCTCAATGTCTCAGAAAAAAATACAATTCCCATGATTCCCTAGCATTAACCCTAACCCTTAAAGTGGACTCAATTTGCACTATTTCTGGCAGTCTGCAACCCCCCAATGTCTTCTTCTGATTTCCTGACTGCAGTCCCCATTTCCATCATTGTTTGATCCCAGGGATGGGAACTCTTTTACTATTTCTATTTCCTCATTGTCTAGGTTGAATGTGTG